ATATATATATATATATATATATATATATATGATTTAAGCATAGATAAACGTCCTTTACCAGTTGAAAGAGACCAAACAGATCCAAAAATATCTTACTTAATCCTTTTTGCTTCTCCCGGGCGACAAAAAAAATGACAAAAACAATCCTCCTAATTTATAAAAAAAATTCTTGGCTACCTATAACTAATATTAAGAAACAATCAGAAAAGCCGTTAAGCAGAACTTCTTAAAGTTACAAGCCCAGGGGAATAAGTATCACCGATAATAACAGAAAAAATAAAAAATCAGCTGGAAAGGGAAGAATACGATTAAATAGAGCAGAGCAATTACTAACTGTTTCATGCCGAGGTGCAGATGTCTCTTCTTTGTTAGCTCCTTTAGAGGAAGCGCTCACTCTTGTAGTCTAAAAATATCTTTTGTCAATACCACTCTAATCGCCAGCTCAAATTCAAATGAAAGATAAAATACCACAACTATGCAACACTTACAGCATTTCGGCGAGATTTCGCCTTCATCCATTCGGTTTCTGAAGAATTATTCTTTAAAGAACTTCTTGAAGAAGCTGCATTAGGAAGAGAACCATTTTTCACTAAAAAGAATTCCGCTAATAACCCACACAATTAAACTTCCCCACCGGTACTGCTCAGTACTACCACGTTCTGATCACATATACCTAAGAAAACCTAAGGAAATTTGCCTTATGATAACGCCAGTACAAAGCAAAAAATATATACCAATTCCATTCTCGTTTTTAGCATGACCTCGGGAGATTTTTGCTGTACTAGAATGGGCTGTACCTTGCCGATGAAAAAACATATGCGACCCAATATTTTTAACTATTGGAGTCATGTTTACCTCCGCATGTACAGCTGTAGGAACGATGACAGTTTCTGCCTAAAACATAATAAAGACCTGATCAAAAAACTTTCTTATCATATAAAATCTACTCATAATAGACAATAAATATAAAAAAATAAAACAGAACAATTAATAACAATAAAGAATATACCTCTTCCAATACCTCTTTATTATCTGCATCCGTTTCGGGGGTTGCATTTTCATTTTCCACGTCTTCATCAACAGAATCATGCTTAAATTGAGTGAGAATAGACGAAGTAGAACAGTAAAAATAAAAATTTTATTTCACGCAACCGAATTTTAAGAAGTGATTAAAAAAACTCATCCTACTTCCTCATCCAAATTGTTTTGACGCTCTTCAACTTCCGGCGTATTTCTAGACTGCTCTTCTTTGGGATCAGCACTGTAATTATTAAAAAAAAAAAGAAAATAAAACAAATTCAAACGCCCACAAAGAAAAAAATTTGCTTATAGACTAACCTGCTCTTTTTTGCTTTCCGCTTTGCTTTTTTCTTCTCGTTTTGACGTTGTCTCGATAATTTTTTCGATTTAGCACGTGCTTCCTAAAGCGCTTGATAAAAATTAAAAAGTCCTAAAAAAGCCAATAATTAGTGACCTTGAGATAAAAAGAAACCTCTTTTGCTATTATCTCCAACAATGTCTCAGCATTTTTATTCGCCTGAGCAGCCTGCCGTTCTTTTGCCGAAACGATAACCTCCATACACTGGTGACACTTAGTCAGAAGTTCCTTCAATTACTCATCAGTAATACCAAACTGTCTCGAAAACTTCATTGGGTACTCATGTTTTGAAGAAAAAAAAAAACATAAGTCCAAGAGTAAACTCTTCATGACAAAATAAAAAAAAAAAAGTTTAATAAAAAAGAAAGAACATAACAAAGAAATTTCAACTCCATTACAGTTTTAAAATTACCCATGTATCACCTCAACTTCAGAAACAAGAAGATAAAAAATGATATTTACTAAATGTGGATCAGTTACTAAAAGCCTGCTATTAGAAATGTTTGACACTGCAGCTTTTAAAACAGATTAAAAACCTTTTCGCTCAATGTTGCAATGTACCGATAGCACTCCTGGTCACCAGGAAATTGTTGAACATGACGTACCATATACCTTACAACCTTAAAAAAACAAAGTATTTAAAAAACCAAACCATATGATCACGAAAAAAAGCAAAATCAGAGAAGACATACGAAAGCAGGTATCTGATTTTGGCAATCAGATCGAGTTTACCAAAAACCTAATATCCAGCAGGCTGCCTGCTTCAAAAACCATACTGCATACTTAGAATTCACTATTTTCACTGCAGTCCACTGCGCACAAGAAAGGTTAGAAAGAATCCACAAAAAAATTAAGACCTTCAGGTGTCCCTTGCGGAACGCAATTATTAAAGGTGAAACGCGTCTATTGTCTTGAGCATCTGGATCTGCTTCATGCTTCACAAGAATCTGTACTGTTTCTAAATGTCCACCGTGACAAGCAAGCCACAATGCTGTGCACCCCTTTTTATTTTTAGCATCTATCTGAAATAAACTTCATTTCAAAGAATTCCATATAAGTCTAACACTAAAAACTAAACAGCCTCAAAATTAAAAAATACAACGCAAAAACAGAATTCCTCTACAAAGAAAACATTCACCTGTGCACCCCGATGTAAAAGCAATTCGACAAATTTGTGGTGCCCTTTATCAGCAGCAATTGTTAAAGCCGTATCTCGACTGGCTGGAACTGGTGCTGCATTCGGATCTGCCCCATGGTTTAAAAGCTTCTCAGCAACATCAACATAACCTCCATTAGCAGCTTCCATCAGAGGAGTCAAACCAGTCTATACAAATAATTAAATATTACCATAGAGCGCTAAAGCACCACTTGTTAAAAAAACTGCTATATCTTCGTCAGCTTCGAACGTACTGTTCAAAACAGCGTAAAATAATTAGAAATCAAACTAATTACCTTCGCACGATGTTCTACGTTCGCATTATATTCTAACAAAAGTCTAACAACTTCTGTCCTCCCTTGAAAGCAAGCGAGAGTCAACGCCGTATTTCTATTTGTCTCAATATGGGCATTTATATCTGACCCTCTTTCCAGCAGTAACCTTGTAGCGGCGGAATGCCCATTCATGGCTGCGAGCATCAGTGGAGATATTCCAAGCTGAAAATGCAAACGTGAAACACATTCAAGTGTGCAAGCAAAAACACAAAAGATACTTTGCTAAAATATTGTATAAAAAATTGAAACGCTGCAGCACGATATCTCACAAAAGACGCCGACCAAACTTTCAACCTCAAATTCTCAAAAAAAAAAAAAAAAAAAA